TACCACCTTTTCGCCAGCTCAATGTGAAGAAGTACTGCAATTGTGTACGAAATACCGTTCAGTTTTCTCATTAACGCCTGACGAGCTAGGTAGATGTACTTTTGCGGAAGCTGATTTTCCCCTCGAACCAGATACAAAACCTGTAAGTAGGGCTCCGTACCGCGCAAACCCACGCGTGCAAGAGGTGATCGACAAATAAATGCATTCACGAAATGGAACAAGCGGGAATTGTTGAACAACGACCAAGCCCGTGGGGATCAGCTGCAACGTTGGTATCAAAAGCTGACGGCTCTCCCCGGTTCTGTGTAGACTACAGAGCCACGATCAATAAAAATTTGATTCGTAAATCGTGGCCGATGCCGGAAATGGCTAGCCACATTGATACAGTAGCGGGTGCAAAATTCATTACTGTATGTGACGTACAAAGCGCGTACCACCAAATACCAATCGCCGAAGAAGAACAAGACAAAACGGCATTCGTAACACGAAATGGGAAATGGGTTTTCAAAAGACTTCCCTTCGGGATTGCTAACGCTCCCTTCCTCTTTCAACGTACAATGGCGTTGGCGTTTGCACATTTTGGTCCCAAATCCGGGCTCCTGGTGTACATGGATGACTTAATCTGTTGTTCATCGACATGGGAGGGACACTTAAAACTGTTGGAAAACACGTTCCAAGCTTTGCAAGCAGCAGGGCTCACCTTGAAACCATCCAAAGTACAATTCGGACCACAAGAGGTGAAGTACTTGGGACACATTCCCTCATCAGATGGAATACGTCTTGGTGAGGATCGGATAAAAGCGATACTAGATATACCAACGCCAACAAACATCAAAGAGCTACGATCAGTGCTGGGGACAGTCAACTATGTGCGGAAGTTCATTCCAAACTTGGCGACAGTCACCGCACCCCTGGTTGACCTCACGAAAAAAGAGGCAATGAAGTCAGTGGCAAAACGTTGGGGACCGGAGCACGATGAAGCGTTTGCGGAAGTAAAGAAATTGCTCGCCGCAGCTCCTCTGTTAAACTTTCCAGACTTTTCTAAAGAATTTGTAATTCATGTCGATGCTTCTAATGCTGGTACAGGAGCATTCCTAGCCCAAGAAGATGGTGACGACCTGAAGATCATAGCATACTTTAGTCAGCGTTTCAACAAAAGCCAACTGCACTACTCAGCAACCATGAAATAATGTTACGGTGTTGTTCTAGCAATTCAACATTGATTGGCGCCCTTTTATCTGTGGAGCAGACATTTTACGTGCGTAACTTATCATGCCGCGTTGCGTCATCTCTACACGATGCAAGACACGTCAAATATGCTCACACGCTGGGCGATAGCGCTGCAATCATTCGACTTCACGGTAAAACATAAACCAGGAAAGTTGCATGCCTGACACGTTATCGCGTCTTTTTGTGTTCGAAGAAGACCAATTCTTGCTCCGATCTGCCGCAATGTACCGGAAAACCCGGAGTTGGAAATTACCACGCCCAGCAGATCTTACGACCTGTCACCAGACAAGCTTGATATTGTACAACCTGTGACTAGCGACCGCGGGTTGTTTACTGCCAGTGCTTCGTTCGCCAGTGCGACGGAAGTGTTTGAATCTGTTGATCGTGACAAACTACGCGCGAAACAAGCCGAAGAATATGGCGAGTACATCGAATACATAACGAACAACAAGGCACCGCTCCCTGAACACGAAACGGCAACAACAATGTCGTACTATTCCGTACAAAAGGGTTTCTTGTTCAAGTCGTATTTGCCAGGACACCTTCGGAAAAGGAGTACATTTCGGGATCAGCTATTTAGTGTTGCTACATGCCTTAACAGATTTGGTGATGCATGCTTATCATGATCATGCCCTTTCGGGAGGACACCTCGCTTACCGACCAATGTACGAAAAAATTCGTCAAAATACTGGTGGGAATCTATGAACCGTGACATCCGAACTTGGTGTGAAGAGTGCCAAGCTTGNTCTGTTGATCGTGACAAACTACGCGCGAAACAAGCCGAAGAATATGGCGAGTACATCGAATACATAACGAACAACAAGGCACCGCTCCCTGAACACGAAACGGCAACAACAATGTCGTACTATTCCGTACAAAAGGGTTTCTTGTTCAAGTCGTATTTGCCAGGACACCTTCGGAAAAGGAGTACATTTCGGGATCAGCTATTTAGTGTTGCTACATGCCTTAACAGATTTGGTGATGCATGCTTATCATGATCATGCCCTTTCGGGAGGACACCTCGCTTACCGACCAATGTACGAAAAAATTCGTCAAAATACTGGTGGGAATCTATGAACCGTGACATCCGAACTTGGTGTGAAGAGTGCCAAGCTTGTCAGCGTAGAAAAGCGGCCCACCGCCGTCCGAAGTTACCGACAGGTCATGTACCTGTGCAAAGACCGTTGGAATGAATATCGGTCGATCTGGTAGAGTACAAAACTCTATCAGAATCAGCAGGAGGTGTAAAATGCAAGTATGTCCTGTCAATGATGGACCATATCACACGCTTCGCAATCTTGACACCCATTCCAAACAAGTCTGCTGAAACGGTAGCTCGGGTAATGTGAGCATCTATCTTTGGACCACCAGAAATGTTGCACTCTGATCAAAGCACCGAATTTGAAAACAAGATCATTTTCCAGTTACAGGAAATCCTCGGGTACAAGAATACCCGGACGACACCGTATCGGCCACAAGGCAATTCAGTGCCAGAACGAGTGCACTCCACAATGCACGCAATGCTGGCAATGCACAGTTCTATGGAGCGAAATAACTGGGCGGGACTCTTGCCGATGGTACAACTAGCGTACAACACATCGTTTAGTACAACCATGCATGAGACACCGTTTTTCTTGATGTTCGGTCGCCAACCACGTTTACCTGTAGATGTAATTCTTGGAATACCACATGACGGAGCAACCACCGATACCGAGAGTTTTTCTCAACAAACGCGAGACAATCTGCAGATCGCGTTTGAACTCGCGCGTCGAAACCTGACGGAACGTGCTGAAAAAACAAGCTGCGAAAAACAAAAGGTTGCCGCATATCCAGTGTTCAAACCTGGTCAACAAGTGCTAGTATACAAGCCATACCAGGACACTGACGGACCAAATCCGAAACTGCTTTTGCCATGGAGAGGACCATTTATCGTTTGCTCTCAACCGTCACCGGTTGTTTGTCGTGTAAAGCGAAGGGACGATGTGCGGGAAACATCCGTACACCTCGCCCATTTGAAGCAGTATCATGCACGGCAGAAACCTCCAGCACCACAGTTTGAAAAATTGGTTGAATTTTTCACGGGTGTGTTTAGTACAGTACACACTGGACGTACTCGAGTATCTTACTCGAGTATTTTACTATACTCTGCTAATAGTAGGTTTAGTACAGCTTTCGATACTGTACTGAACCTACTGTACGCTTTAGTACACCTCTCCGTACTGTACTATACTGTAGGTTTAGTACAGCCCTCGATACTGTACTAAAGAGTACGTTTAGTACTACAATCAATACTGTACTAAAAATACTG